CTTTAAGGTAGAGTTCTCCTCTTCCAGAGCCTGAATGTATTGCAGTAACCCATCAAACTTTGTTTCCAGGGCATCTGTATGCTCACAATCTGGGCAATTTCCCCACGGAGTTCTAGGGAGAGTTTCTCCACTTTCTGGGCTATATTGAGTGTTAATTAGTGAAAGAGAATCTGCAGCTTTTCATCTAGCATTTCAGGGGTTAACACCGATTGTGTAACAGGCAATGATGCTGCCTCTCGGTCATGCTTGTGAGTATAGGAACAACTTAATTCAAGAAAAATGGCTCATGGGGTATCCTTTATTAAGACTGAGCATATCCCAAGCCTTTGAAATACTTGGTACACTAGGAGGCAAACATTTAGAAAAAAGAACACTTATTTTTCTGTACAGAAGCCTCACCACTGCCAGTGATTATTGGTAAGAAGAAAAGCAATGCCATTAGGGTGGTTTACACCATCATGTTAGAAATCAAATATGCAGTTTGTTAAAAATGCATAAAGTGTTTTTAATGTGGTGAGTTAAACTTTTAAGTGCTGCAAAATGCATTTTATGCACACTTCACATAAATATTTTGTCTATTTATTTCAAATTTCTCCCCGCAAATGTGAAATAATGGGCATGTGACTGAAAGTGCACTGATTAAAACATCTAGGGGTTGATTTACTCAAACTAAAGAGTGCAAAATCTGGTGCAGCTCTGCATAGAAAAAATCCTCTTCCAGGTTTTTTTGTTAAAGCTTAATTGAACAAGCTAAAATTAGAAGCTGACTGGCTACCATGAACAGCTGTACCAGATATTGCACTCTCTACCTTTAGTAAATCAGCCCCCATGTGTTGCATTTTAGTGCTGCTTTTTTTTTTTAATGCGTCAATATTGACTACAATGTAACACCTATTTTTCAAGAACCGCACATAACATGCAGCAAGCAGGATTTTTGAAAAATGCAACATACTTTACTGTAAAGCAATGTAATAATTTAAAGAGCTTTGTGAATTTTAAAGAAACCTATTTTCCCTGCTGTTTGGGGTGCTGTGAATACACTTTTACAACACAATGCTATGAAAAGCCCATACTGCAGTCAGAAACAACACTGGCACTGGTGGTGAGTAATAGCAGCATAAGTTATTGATGATGATGATGTTTTGTATTGTAATTCAAACTAACAAAATGGAGGAAGAAGGCATTGACCTTCCTGGCCACTTTGTATCACCCACAAAACAGTGTAAATGGAAATTATACTTTATCAATTTTATTTAGACAGATCCTTCCCCCCACCCCCCTCCAAGTCTTATACTCACCTGCCCCCTATCCATTGAGATCCTGGTTGAGTGGACTCCTGAAATTAAACTTGGAATGTGGTCTGTGCAGGTAGATCAGCAAAATTAATTATTAATACATTTTGTATTATATTTATTTCATGTGTTGAATGCTAAGGATCCATCCAGAACATGTTGTACCCTTTCTGCACTTATTCATAGTGGTGTTTTCTGTGCTGTAAAGTAGTGTGCATCATAGCACCACATATTGTTCTCCCTTTTGCTATAGTCACTATTAAATTTACGCAGCCCCCTTTAATAAACATGTTAGGCAAACCTAAAGTGAGAAGGTAGTGGCATATGAAGGTAGTGGGGGATGAGTAGGTTCTGCAGGGCAAAGCAGTGGTATGACCACAATGTCCAGATTTAGGAGTCTGCCTTTCTTTTACAAGACTTTTCTATCTCAGAGTGACTGTGCTATACAGCCAGAGTATGAGTAGGAGGTAGTAGTAAAGCTGCTAACAAAGCCTTTCTCTTCTTTCAGCCTACCAGAAATCATTTGCCTGCAATTGTGTCTAATTCTCACTTATCCTAATCCTTCACACAGCATGCTGTGTATCATTTTTAAAATTCATCCTACTTCAACTGATTAAATTCTATCTATGGAGTAGTCTGTACAATATTTCTGACTTTTTCTTTAAAATACTATATATACATTTTAATGTGGGTTTGTATATGGAATGCTATCCATGCCATCAATGGAATCAATAATGCAGTTTTTTTTTCTGTGAAATGTATACACTGTAATATGAATTTTTAATAAAAATGCTCTCTGTCCTTTTCAAAATACAGTCTATTCCAAGTGCCTAAATACTGTTTATGTTTTCTCTGAAAGAATACTCTATTTTTACATTCATGATGAAATCTGACTGGTCCATGTTCCTGAAATTGCAGCCTCATAAAAAGGACGATATAAGGTGCATTAACTCTGTCAGTATTTTTGAATTTTGTTTCATAATAAATACATTAAGTTCAAAATAAAATCTACCTTGTATTTCCTTCTTCTCCTTTCCTTTCCTGTGATGTGCAGCGAATCTGTACAATATTTCAGAATTGTTTCTCTCAAATAAAACACTCTCATTTTTATGACAAAAACTGCCTCATCTCTCCCTACTGTGTTGAAGCCCAATCAAGCTGCTTACATACTCTCCATCAGCTGTGTTATATGTGTGGCTATAGCCTCTAAGACATGGCACATTTTACTTTCCAGATAAAAATGGCCTTGCTCCTTAAAATATGGGTTGTGGTTTTGAAATGATTTTGTGCACCGTGTTTTCACATTTCAATAAACTTTTAGCAAATACAGCGGGGTACTGCCAGAAAAAAAGGATTGCAGGCTTTAAAGGATCACAGGCTTTAAGAGGATCGCAGACATTAAACTGATATCCCACTACCCAGTTAGTATGGAGTTGATAGCTTTAGATTTTTTTTCTTTTCTAAGAGTAAGCTCTTGTTTAGCTATTCTGTTGTAGTTGTTACTTTCACCTTTCAATTCATACTGATAGATAAAAAAAAAATCAGGTATGACAGCCACAGGGGGGTTTAAGAGATAAATGTAAAATTTAAAAAATCAATTACACATTAAGAATGTTATGCTAGAGCATGTGTCTCTAAAGCTGTTTGTGAGAATTCTACTTTTACATAACACAGCATACAAATTAAAGGTAGTTCCCAAGCATGCATTAATAAAGGAATTGTGTTTTTTTTTCTTTTTTATTGCATGTTACCCTCAAAGATGAAAAAATGGAGAACTCTCTCCCCACTGTAGAGTATTTTTTCTTTTTCTTTAATTATTGCATTTGTTACATGTCCCATACGACAGTGCTCAGCGCTCTTTATGTCCTTTTTTGACAGTCACTTGACTATTAGCCTTGAAAAAGGACAGAAGTGATAGTCTAAATTCTTCCTCCTATTTCCGAATGTTTGTTTATCTTTGCTTAATATTCCAATAAAGCTCCCACTAGCTTCGCGCGCAACCGAAAACATTCTAATGTAATGAAAAACAGACGCCCATTCTATACCCATTGACGAAACACTTTTTAGTTTCTGCAGGTATGGCGTCCCTGGCTGATGTATCTCAACCATCTGATTTGACCAGTCCCTCTTCTGTCGACAAGACTTCAACTTTCACACTTTATGATGCCCACAAACTGAACCTAGGTTGATGTACTTATGCCTACTCAACACAGCCTTATTCTTGTGCAAAAAGGAAAAAGGGTTCCTTGCAAGATAGGGCCACCCGCACTTATACTTCCCTTGCACTTGGAATAGCTGCAAGGAATACCACCTTGTAGGAGAGAGTAGAGATGTCTCTAATGCCTTCTAAAGGCTATTTCTAAGGCAAGACAGAAACAGGTAGCTCTTAATTGATGAGTTAGAGGCCATTAGTATCTAAAACAAGACAGAAAGGGCAAAAACTTGACCCCTGATATTTGTAAGAGTCAAAAGGTGGTCCAGACCAAGCCATTTTACCATCCACTATATCTATTTTTACTTTTTTTTGTTTTTTTAATACTTTTTATTTACTTACTTTTTATTTTTTCCTTAGTTGGCCACCTTTGTCCTTGGTCAAGCAAACATGGGCAGGGATAGCAAGGCCGTAAAGTACCGATTTAAGATTTCAAAAGCACATCATATTCAAAAATAAAAAAAGGACACTTTCAATGTCAAAACTTAAAGTGAAGTTTTAAGGCTACTAAGGACTTCTTCCTCAGACATCAGTGACTGTATCTAAAACACTTACAAGTCATCATATCCATGAACTACTGTGTGTCAAGGATTTATCACTGGCTGGAGGTGGCCCAATATGCTCTCCAAATACTAGTCTCACCTGCTGTACATGTCATGTCAAGGGCTTTGAGACTGGATTTGAAACTGAGAAACCAACTTTTAATATCCTGGATCAGGGTATGTGGTGTCTTAGGTATACAGTGTTTTAACACTTTTTGATGGATGCAGTGAGGTGCTGCAAATAAGCCAGCGTGAATGCATTTTATATGTAAAGGCAACGTTTAAAGGACCAGGTGTGGAAAAAGAGTGTGAGCAGCAGCAGTGCCCTATATTAATTTAAGCCATAGTCTTTTTTGAGAGAACCTAATGTTAAACCCATAGGAGTAATTGTACTCTAAATAGTTTATTTTTAAATAGAACTTTAGTTTGTACACACAGGTTGGTAGTGGTTTTGGGTGTACTGAGGTTTTGCCTGCTTTATTTACTGCTAGTTATTTTAACCACTAGCTTACTATGCACGTATACCCCCTTCCTGCTCAGGCCAATTTTCAGCTTTCAGCGCTGTCACACTTTGAATGACAATTGTGCGGTCATGCAACACTGTACTCATATGACATTTTTATAATTTTTTTGAAACATATAGAGCTTTCTTTTGGTGGTATTTAATCACCTCTGGGTTTTTAAATTTTTGCTAAACAAACCAAAAACAACTGAAAATTTTGAAAAAAAAAAGAGTTTTTTCTTAGTTTTTGTTATAAAAATTTGTAAATAAGTGATTTTTCTCCTTCACTGATATGCGCTAATGAGGCTGCAGTGATGGGCACTGATGGGCACTGATAGGTGGCACTGATGGACACTGATGAGGAGGCACTGTTAGGTGGCACTGATGGGCATTGACAGGCATCACTGATGGGCACTGAAATGCATCACTCATATATGGGTCTGATAGGCAGCACTGATAGGTGGCACTGATAGGCGGTACTGACTGGCACTGATAGGAGGCACTGACTGATAGGCGGCACTGACTGGCACTGTTAGGTAAAAATGACTGGCACTGTTAGGTTGAACTGACTGGCACTGTTAGGTGGCACTGATAGGCAGCATGATGGGCACGGATAGGTGGCACTGATGTGCACTGATAGACAGCACTGAAAGGCACTGATAGGCGGCACTGACTGACACTGATAGGTGGCACTGATTGGCAGCACTGATAGGTGGCACTGATTGTCATTGATAGGTAGCACTGACTGGCACTGATAGGTGACACTGAAAGTCAGCTCAGATGGGCACTGATATGTTGCATTGATGTGCACTGGTAGGCACTGATATGTGGCATTGATGTGGCACTGATGGGCACTGGCACATTGCACTGATGAGCACTGACAGCTGGCATTGGTGGACACTGACAGGTGGCACTGCTGGGGCTACACTGATCATCAGGGCACACTGATCATCAGTGCCCTGATGATCAGTGTACATGTCCCCTCCGAGGAATGCAGATTAACGGCTCTCCTCTCGAGTTGTCAGCTTGACAGCTCGTGAGGAGAGAAATGCCGATAACCGGAATTCCCTATTTACATGCGATCAGCTGTGATTGGACACAGATGATCACATGACCGAGCCAAAATCTTCGGCTCTTTCTGTTGATCTGTGATCCGCTGTGTCCGAGGGACACGTCCACCCAGAATAAGAGAACTGCCTTGCGCCCGTCATTGCCTTATATGGCTGGCGGGAGGCGGTTAAATACTAGCTTTAATGAAAATAACAACTAGTTAAACTGATATAAAGGTCTTTGTTTGGGCACTTTGTGTTATGGAGTGACAACACTCTGCCCCTGTCTACCACAATCTCCTGCCTGTAAATCAAAGGATCTGTGATGCACATTGGTAGTTTACCAATTAGGAAATATATACCCGGTGAAAAAACACAGGCAGCCTGTTATCACTTTAGTGCAGCCTTTCTCAATTTTTTCAACACAACGGAATCCTTGAAATAACTTTCCGGTCTTGGGGAACCATTGCTAAAAATTACTATATCTACATGGCCAGCTGTAAGAATGCTCCTAACACTTGTGATTATTGGGAAGATTTACCCCTTTAATGATAGCTAAAAAGATCAATGGTGTTAGTGGGAACTTATCTGAAAGGCAGACATTACTCATTGCTTAAGGAAACCCTCTGTAGGAACCCTAGGGTTCCATGGAACCCTGGTTGAGAATCCCTACTCTAGTGCATCTGGACAAGGGCAGGCTATAAAATAGCAGTAGGATATCTGCAGCATTGTGATGTAACAAAGAATGAAAAAAGGTAAACCCAATCCTTCCCCCAACCCCCAAATTCTTCAAAATACACAGTGATTTTTTTTATATACAAGACATTATTTCATTCAGGTTTTAAGAGAATAGCTAGTGCTTAGAAGTGCTTCACCAATCTCTCTATGCATTTTATCATTATCAGCATCCTTTTGTTGTGCCTTTCCTATCACAGCTTAATCACACTATAAGGACCAGGCAGTGCATTATGTTACTCCTGCAATAACAAGAAAAATATAAAAATTACTTATAAACCCCATTAAAAACATCTGGAGTTTGCACCAGATACAGCCAAAAGAAAGAGATGGGGGACAAACTGAAGACTGCAAAAGACTAGCATTTCTACACAAAATAACAAATAATCAAAATATTGAAAACTGTATGAAACTTGTAAATGATAGGACTGTGTTCCTCTAAGAATCCTTTTATTTTGGAAAAGAAAATATTCCCAGGTATACATACACCCCATAAAAACAATACCTACCACAAAAAAACAAATATTGTAATGTTACTGAGAGTATTGCGAAAAACATATTATTACCACCTAGATATCAGCTGGATTCACCACCACATAAATATCAGTAAACTCAATAAACACTTGTATGTACTGTATATGACAATAGCCAAACTATGGAAATTATTGCAACATTATGCAAAGATACTGTATATGTAACTTATGACTGTAAGGGTCAACTAATAGGAGGAAGAAATATTGTAAAAATGTATTAGCAACTTTTGATTGGCACTTATAGTCATAAGCTGGACATATATAACATTGCAGAATGTGGCAAAAATTCCCATAGCCTGGCTATTGTCCCATCTACAAAAGCTTATACAACACTTTACAGGGTACCCTGGCAAGGTACGCTCCCTATGTTGAGGACATGTAGCTTGGAATGTTGCAGGAGGGTGGGCACATGCTTGCTGCTCCTCCCTTTCCTGGCCAGACAAGCTTCATGCTGATATAAGGGTTGGTATGGATTTTGGGGGACCCAATGCTGTTTTTTTTTGTATGGGGTTCCCCCCTCAAAATTCATACCAGACCCTTATCTTGGATAAGGGTCTGGTATAAATGTTGATGTGGTCCCTGGCTGCTTTGTTTACAAGCCTAACAAAGTTAGCCAGGAAATGTCAATTAGAAGCAATAGTTTTTGTTTGGAATGCAGCTTTTGCTACTGTACACCCTACAAGTGCGCCACTTAACATACAGGCATAAGACATCCTCCAAGTATGTTATTTAAAAGAATTTTGTATTTAAACCCTTTCCCGCCCCGCCTATAGTAAAATGGTGGCTGGTCAGGAATTTTGTCAATCTGGGTGGAAGTCATATGATGTCCTCTAGGATCAGGGCGGCGCTGCGGCAAGATCTGTCACCATCAGTATATCTAGTGGTGATCAAATACCACCAAAATACAGCTCTGGTTTTGTGAACAAATTGATAAAAATTTAGTTTGAATAAAATGTTGCATGACCACGCAATTGTCATTCAAAGTGAGAGAGCACTGAAAGCTGAAAATAGGCCTGGGCAGGAAGGGGGTAAAAGTACCCTGCAGAGAAGTGCTTAATGTTGTCATTTAACCCTTTCACTGCCAGATCAATTTCTTGGGTTTTGATTTGCATACATGTTAAAATAATAATTTTAGCCCTAAATATTTGTTTAAACCTTATCACACTGACACTGTCAAACCTGTGTTGATAGGTATTTAGAGGACATTGCATTAAAAGGCATGTAATGATTTTTCAACAGTGTCAATCACACTATGCATTTACCTGCATTTAGGTGTATCAAGAGGAAAAATAATTGTGTGCATGTAAAAATGTCTAAATGCTTTTAAGCAAGAATAGCTAAATGCACGAAAAAGTGATCTGGGAAGCATAGAAGTTCTGCATACTTTCAAGATTACTTTTTCTGATGACTTTTTCATGAGTGCTAGTGTGAATGAAGCCTAAACATTATATTTTATTTTCTGAAAGCAGAAACCCTGGAGAATAAAATAGTAGTAGTTAATTTTTTCATTCCACAATATGGTAGAGCAATGGTTTATCAAGTGCAAATTTGTTTTGTAAAAAAAGTACACCAATGTTAATTTAGTGTACACAAATGCATAAGAATGCACAAGCTATCAATTTATTTTTAAATATAAAAGAAGGAGTTGTGCCGAGTAAATAGAAACCCAACATACTGAACCTTAAAAGTGTCTTGAAATGGCAACATACTTCAGCACCCCTACTTGGTGGGGGGGTCTGTGAAAGCTTGCACTGCAGAAAAACTGATTGGCTCCATATGCTACTTCTCCCCTGAGTTTTTCTGTACAGGATCTGCAAGAGAATGATAGCAAGACAAATTCAGTTACTTACAATGTATACATGAATTATGTATTAATGAATACAGAGCTGCCCTAATTTGTATCCTTTGTATCTGTCTGAAGTTTAGGTTTAAATGTGTACAGAAAAGTAATATCTGTATAATTATTTGTCTTCCACATTTCTGAGTAATGTACCTGGTATACCTGCATTTTAAAATAAAAACATAAAATGTATCACTATCATGTACTGAATACTCTCAATTAGGACCCATTCTGGGATAATTGTATGATTTAACGGAACAAGCATGATTCGTAGTCAAAAGCAAACCTGAATACTGGAACCCCTTCAATGGTCTCATACACTCATACTCTGACACAAACTATGATTCACATGATAATTACACAACCGAAAGTTCAATAGAAAGTATTAGGGGTACTGTCTATGTACAGTCTGTGATTTAATTCCAGCTGTATTCTTTACAAGATGTTTTCAATAAAGGTCACTCCATCGTAAAAGACAACCAGGAATGTACTGAATATTTTTATTAAAAATTGATTTTGACCTTAACAAGGAGTGAATTCACCTTTAATGGAAAAAGATGCAGTAAAAACCTATTAACTACTATCATTGTGTGCAGTAATTAAAGTTGCCCCACTTTTTAAATACAGCATTCTTGCAGTTTTTAAGCTGCCATCTGACCTTGCACTGCTTTTAATAATTTACTAGAGCTGAGCTGAAGGGTAGAGAACAAGAAAAGCAACTGTTGTTAGAATATATTTATAGATGCGGTAAAACAAAAAAGGTATTTTCAATTTAGGTTTTCACATTGCTTCAGTAAGGTCAATGTAAAGAATTTTCTATATGCACTAATAATAAGGAGATTCAGTTTATTGGGAAGTAAATTATAATAATTATGCAGGCAGCAGTTATTGTTAAAGGAGGATAAAAAGGTTAAAGGTGAACAGCATATTCTGTAAAATACATTTGCAATTATTTTAATGGTGCAAACATTAGCAACATACTTTTTTTCTTTCTTGTTCATTCAGGAACATATGAACTTTTTCACCTTTGGGTTATTTGCCAGCACCTTTTTTCTTAATTTTTTTTCTTCAATCACAACTCTTCTCTACATCACTACTAGATTCTTGTCTCCTTGATGGCAGCTATCACGCATGGCTGTTCTCAACCAGGCTTCTGGATTGCCTTGTCTGGACCCCTCTGAATTGGATGTTGTGGGGATAGCCTTGAAGTGACCTTTGGCCACTGGGTTCTGCACAGGATGCCTTCCGGACTATGTTCTGGGAAATTTTAAATGCAGAGTGCTTTCCATGACAAGAGATGCTGGCATTGCCTCTGTTCTTTCCCTGTCTCTAAGAACTCACTCAGTGAGTTGACCATCGGGGCAGAGCAATGTGAGCTACTTAAATTTCTTAGATCACTGGTTACCTTTAAAATTCACCAATTTGCACTTCAGAATGAGATAATGCTGTAATATTGAGTGTTCACCAATGCTGGGTGGATTGTCACATAAATGGCATGCTTTTTTCCACCATACAGTGTTGAGGAAGCATCTCCCCACTGCTTCTTTCAAAGAGCCACAAACTCTGATTATCATGCTGTTCCTGCTGCCTACCTAAAGTGACTTTGGCCATCTGCTACAAACTTCCCAACTTTTGTGAGTACCTGGGGCCAGTCCTGAGCCTTATTTTCTTTTACAAATATTTCTTTATTAACGTATGGGTACACATACATATACAGATAACACGAGTTAGATTCAGTATATTTACCTTTACAAGTAGGCTTATATAATAATAAAGCTATGAACAATACAACATAACTCAAAGCCTATATTGTAGCAAAAAAAAAAGTACAAGATTATAAG